CTTAATTCTGTCTTATTAACAAGCATTGCCGCTACAGCAGCTTGAGAATTATATTGTTACCTCAACCTGAGTTGATATGAATTTAATTCCTATGAGTGACGTACTTGCTTGCGAGCATCTACTGTAGAAATTGTAATCATAGTTCATTTACAAAACGGTATAAATGAATGGTATACTGAATGTATGTCCCTCTTGGTTTGTAACTCTTTGTGATTGAATATATATACCTTTTGTATTCTGCTAACCCTCACCCTTAAGATCTGTTATGTTTATATGCACATTTTATGTATTAATAAATGTATTCTCGTGTATTAGTACCCGTGCGTTGCTGAGTTATTCCGCAAGGTCGGTTTACTACACAGACACCTGGACTTTGTCATTTGTATGATTCAATATTTGCTTCATCTCACATGTTTGGCCTTCACTTTGGTGCTTTCACCTGACTCCACCTCTGTGGTGTGCCTGCAGCTCTACTCCTGCTATAGTGAATGTAACTGGCATTAATTACAAAAGCAATGTTTTAGGTATTGTTTTTTTCAGTGAAGTACACAGGAGTCAAAATTTAGAATATTTTGCTAATCTCTTAGAATATCTTGCTAATTATTGCATTTTCAGAAATTTTCAGAAAAGGTCAACAAGTAAATGCCAGCAGCTATATCGCCCTGCAACTGACAACTGGTAACCAATCATGGCCTACTAATAATCCCCATCTATCATTTGAGAATACATAAGACTAAGGAAGAATTATTATTAAAAGATGACCTTGCAAAAGACTTGACTATCATTTTGTAATGACTTAACAGTATGTTGACTGTTTTGTAAGGTACTGTACACAGTGTGTGGTGTTGTCTAATGTTGTCTTTTATCTATTTCGAATAAGAATCACAATGTACGTGTACATATGGAAAATAAATTCCTTAATCTCCCTATCAATAACTCTCAACAACATTGTATATTCAGGACATTCTAGAAAGATGAAAGATAAACAAATGCGACTACGGTGCTTATAAAATTATAAGACTTATCAAATCTGCATTGGAAATGTAGCTGTGATGTATTTTCTACTTCAGTCTTGACATGGTACTATACTGTATATCTCTGTTCTTCTTCCCAAAAAGAGTCACACTTACTAGGGACAAAACTAGTAATGCATGCCAAGGACAGCTCAGAAGTCACAGCCATTTATTTCAGCCCATTTTCGTATGTGGTTGTATTCATGCTTGTTTTATGCCATGCATATCAGATTTGCAGATGGTCACGTCTCTGCTATTTTCTTCTGTCCATCAAAAAGTTTAAACAGTTTAAAGAGAACCTCAGTGTTTCAGACAGTTCTGATGAACTCTATCATTTATATTTTACTACAGTTAGTTTAAAACTAGAACTATTTATACTTTTTTTTATTAATTGACACTACAGACACCATACCTCTGATCATTGAATGTAAGCCGAACTTGAACTTAAAACAATACTTGATTGTAGTTGTACTATTTGATAGTTGTACTGTTTGATAATCGCTGTATTATTTTGTACTGTTTGCCTAATTATTTTGTTCTGTTTGTTTACTTTTGCACAGTTTTTAACAGATATGGGTACTGTCACACTGGTACCATACTCATTGTTTACATTGTTATTGTTATTGTATTTACTGTCTTGTCTGCTGTTCTGTATATATAGAGAGAGACTAATGAGAAACACTTTTCAGTAGTTGGAAGTAACTGTAGTTGAGTAATAAAACATATCAAACAAATGTAAGCTCACCTTTTGGAATAATGACAATTAATAATGTGTCTACACCATAGGAGTAGACAATGTTGTAAGCTAGGTAAGACTGGAAATCATCATGTGAAAATAGGAAATGAGTAACTACGTTTGGCACTTGGTGGAATTTGAACCACAACAATTTTTTTATTACATTTTTTTTCGAACACTTTAAAATTCATAAGTCGTGGGACACCCAAATACTCAATTGACATCCTGTGGATGCCAGCTCAATGTTAATACCCCAGGGGAAAGAAAGGTGAATAGTGTACTTCCTTAAAGATAAATACTTTTCAGCAAACTGTAATTTGATCAGACAGTGTCATAAATCTTTACTGTCAAAATCATACCTGCCAAGAATTGTACAATACAAGCCTAGATCTTATTTTATAAAACATTATTTTTAAACAGTAGACTTTCAAACTGTTTCTTTCTGTCCATCTATCCATTTTAACTAATTGCATTTTTTACACAAGATTTTTAAACTTGAAGTTCAGCTTTTGTTAAAATGCCACTCCTTACCGGAGAAGTTTCAGGTTTCTTTTCTTCTGAGTGAAAATGTTCTGTTCCATTTTCTAAAGATGTAAATACTGGAAAAGATAATAATTCAGAAAACAAGAAAGATTAATTCTTTAAAGATTTTTCATTTTCAATGTTTGAAAATAAAAAAAGGAGGCACACAAAAACATAATGCAAAGTTGTGTGCACGTTATTAGCATTCAATACTTTGGAAGCATTATAAGAAAATTCTCTTCTCTTTTATATAGTTTGTCATTGATTTTAATGTCTATGTTTGCTGGTAGCCCAGTTTATCCCTATTTTTGCTAGGTGTCTCTCACCCCCTCCACAGCAAGTTCACACTTCTCCCACCTGGGAGATGCCTCTGTGTCTCCAGATATAATACTAATAGACACGACACAAGAAATCTTTCATCCCCACTGCAATATCTCTTTCAAACAATGTATTTTTACTGTCTTCTCCCTTATTTTGCAGTACAACTGTTGTACTGAATTTTTGGTTAGTAGATTTTGTCTCTCAATGTGTTGTTACATTGGGAGTTTGCTTTAAAACAAATTTCCCAACTGAGACAATAAAGCTTAAATTGAATTGAAATATCAACTCTGTGTGCCGGCATAATAAACACATTTGTACCTTTGAATGTACAGTATGCTTGTCATGTACTGTATGTCATGAATGTATGCTTATGCATTGCATATTCTTATTGCATTGCAGTCCTTCAGTCTTATTATAAACATTCACAATTATACCACAGTTTTTTTGCTCAATACTTCAATATGTAATATAGTTTTGCATTCTGGATTAATTGTTTCTTTAAATATCTTGAGATATCCTGGTATGAGAAAAACATAGAAATGTAAATTTTTGCTTTACCTGTTGCATACCATCTATTCGCTAAATCTGAACTGGTTTTTAACTCAGAGCAAATTTATAATGTTAGTATATATATTACTCACAGTAGTATAATATGCAATATTTCTCAAGTTTTCTTTTAAATAGAATTTCTTAAAATGTCTTACTCCATAAAGTGTTATCAGTGAATCCATGCTTCTATGATCATTATCAGTGAATCCTGTGATATGATAGAATTATTTGTGTCTTCACTAAGACAATCAATGACATACCAACAAAAATTGCTAGAATGTAATACTATAATGTTATACAGTAATACTGGTAATACTGTACCAAAGCAATGTAGCAAGTAAGTTTTTATATGATTGGTATCTTCCTTGCTAATTTGACAAGTGAAAATCAACTTTGCAGTTAATCAGCTAGGTTTGATCACTGACAGTTTAAGTGTTCAAGACACAAATAAGAATTAATAATATTTTTATAATTGGCCTTTCCAAACCAAGGAAGCTGTACGTAATGATATAAAATACACTAAAAAACAAAATGTAAGACATACAAAACAAACTAAGAAGGTCAAACTATGGGAAGAAATGTATACACAAGGGAGTTCAGAAATGTATGATATAGTCAGATTATTCAAAGCCTTATAAGTCAGTAATTAGGTCTTGTGTTGAATATGTGACTTTACAGGTTGCCGATGTAGACATTTAAGAGTAGTAGCAATGGGCTGCCAGGGACTAGTGTGAGATAAAAGACTAGCTGCAGAGTTTTGGACATATTGCAACTTACTGAGGTGCCAATAGAGCAAAGAATTGCAGAATTCAAGCCGTGGTGTTATAAATGCATTAGCAAGCACTCAGTATCAGTCATTGATAGAAATTGCCAAATGCAGGCATTATTTCTAAGATGAGTTCTGAATTAAATTTTTCACATGGGGCTCAAATTACAGGAGAGGATCAAATAAGACTCCTAAATTCCAGACTTAATTTGGAGACGCCATCCACCATTACTGTGAAACTCTCCAGCTTTTCCAGCTGACATTTACTGCCTACCAGTAATGTTTCTGTTTAGTCACTATTTAGGTTCAAAGAATTAGATATCAACCAGAGCTTAATGTCAGGCAGACAAGTGACAAGTAATGGAGGTGGGGGATCAGAAAGGGAAGATGTTTTAACATAGATCTGATTATCATCTACTTAACAATGAAATCAAAGATCGTATTTGTGTATGATCTGACAGAGAGGAAGCATTTAAATAATGAAAAGCAGTGGACCTAATACAGAATCCAGAGGAACAACATGGTTGACTGTGGCCATGGGGAATTTATGAAGACCAGGAGAAACAAAATGCTGCCTGCCAGACAAATTTGTGCAAAACCACTTAAAAACGGTGTCATCGATACATAAACATGTCTGCAGTGTTTGATTAACAGTGAATGGTTAAACACTAAGTAACACTAAGTTCAAGGAGCAAGAGTGCTTAAAGCCCCAGAGTCTGGCACAACAAACAATTCACTCATAAACCTAACAAGAGCAGTCTCTGTTCTATAATAAGTATGAAAATCAGTTTGGAATTGTTCAGATCATTTGCTACAATGTGTGGAAATTGGCAACGTAGAAATTGGTCTATAGTTTACAGTTATATCAGAATCCGAATCTTGTTTCTTTCATACTGGAGTGATTGATGAAGTGTTTAAAGTAGTAAGTACAGTACCACACTCATGGAAAGAGAACTGTTAATAATATTGACTATAATAGTTCAGATGTTATGCAGGCAAGCTTTCAGTAAAGACAAATGGTTGGGGTCTAAGCAACATTAAATTGTTTAACTGTTAATAAGTTTATGTCACGGACGTCCAAAGGGACTAACCGTGGGGAGCAGGAGAGCGGAAAAAGACCCATATGCGTAGCGGCGAGACGGGAAAAAGGCCCGGGCTCATTAGTGCAAAGAGTTCAGGAATGCCGTATAGAAACCTATGCCCTCAGGGAGTGGATGTGGGGCGCCCTGATGCTAGGCGGGTCTCAGGACATGCAAACGTCAATGCTGAGCCAGGACAGAGTGCAAGACCTGGAAATATATAGCCCAAGGGAAAGCGAGGGACAGGAAGGACAGCAGACCGGAAACTAGGGACAGGACAGAGAAGGAGCGCCCTCTGGCTGCAGAGGGCGTGACAGTTTAGCAAATTATCTAAGTCAATTAAATTAAATTCAATAGAATATGGTACGGAGGGAATGCCTATTGAAAAACCTGGACTCAAATAATTATCCAGATCGGGAACAAGGCTAAAATTTGATTCAGACAAATTCAGAGTTTTTATAAATTATAGATTTAAAGAATTGCAAAAACTTAAAACTGAGATCAGGGATGGAAGAAAGAACAGTTTTCAGTTAACAGTTATCAATTATCAGTTTGTTAATAACAGAAAAAGTAGTTTAATATTAATTCTTAGCCCAGGGTTAATAGTTCCAAATATATAAGAAGATATGGCAGAAGATAGTGCAACTTTTTAGACTTGTTGATGTTCATAATATGGCTTAATATGAACCTCAAAGATTTTTTTTTACTCAGGCATTCCAAACTCCATTCAATCTTAAAGGAGTTTTAAGGGGAGCTAGTTCATCCAAAGTAAAAGTCAGCACATAAGTGTTGAGTAGCACAACCACTGAAGATGACCAATTTTGAACAAGGGGAGAACTAAGAATAGTATTTGAAAAATCAGAGATGTTTATAGATTTCAAATTTCTAAAACAAATTGTGTGGTTACATCTTTCTAAAGAAAAAGGCATAGGCTTTAAATAGCTCAGCCTTCTTAATTAGAAATGTGTTGTAGAATTTCTTGAGGTTGTTAAACATTCTGGCCAGAAACACAGACCAGATCAAGAGTGTGGCTGTAAAAGTGTTTGGGAAAACTTACCAGTTAAGTAAGGTCGAGGCAGACAAGTAAAATCAACAATGGTATGAGTCCATAGAGTTTAAGAACAAGACATTCATAAAAGGTGACAGAATAAAAAGATAACTTTTTAACTTTATAATTTAGTCTTTTGGACAGACTACAGCCAAAAAATCACCACGGCCAGCAGACCGGTGTTTTCCAACATATGTGAAACCTGAAGGAATAGTTTAATTCAATAAAACAAAATTGTTAGGTTACTGCCAGGTCTCAGTTACACATAATATTAATTTTGATAAGAAGTACCTCAGGACAGGTGTGGTAAGTATACAGTCATTATTTCAGCTTGCAAAGGAACAGGTAAAAGTTTATTCAGTGTTGAAAGGAAAAGAAAAAGTTACCCAATGTTTCATCTCTGGAGCTTTTTTTAGCACGGAATAAACTTTTACCTGCTCCTTTGCAGCCTACACATACTGATGCAGCTATTTCAATTTGTTGAGCGCTTTACTAGGCAAAGTCCATAGAGGCAGAGCATCTGCAGAATCCTGAGTGGTGCCAATATAGTAATGTACAGTGCATTAAATCAATGGAACAAAAAAACAAAAAAGCTCTTTGGAAACGTTTAGAAACTTTAAATCCAACAAATTTAACAATCAGCATCCAATGAACCAAATTGAAAAAAGGAAAGGAATTAAAAAACAGCAAAATATACCAGTAGTGGCAGCCAAAACACACAGCATACACTCAAACTGGAACCGCAAAAAAAAGTGACCAGTAATAAGGATGCCTTTGTTGTCAACGCAGGAGCACCACTGAACAATATTATAATTTCAATGTCACCAGGAACTCACCTGAATATATTTTATATTTTCAAAATTTAAAGTTTATTACTATACCTTCAAAGTTCAGTACCTTAAATTTTCTGAATATAAGCAGCATGAATTTTGAGAAGCAATAGAGGTAAAACAACCAAACATTCTAATTTATGTAATAATTCCATTAAATCCATTTGATTGGATTGCCACTCAAATGATACCTACAGCACTATAGTTTGGAGTTTACTAGTCCTGTTTGAGAATAATAGCATTTTCGTTGTATACAGACAAGAGATCAAATGACATGGTGCTCAGACAGCTGTCTTAGATTATGCAGGAACCCCATTTAATCTAATGTTAATTGCTACAGCTTGTAAGGTACAAATGAAGCACTTTTGGTTGATGGTGAAATATGCCATATTTCAGTTAAATGTGGATTCCATTACTTACAGTACATTGTTTGACCAGGGCCAGTTTGTAATTTCATAATAAACAAATAAACGACAAAACTGTA